AATAATGGTCGCATATCGACTGAGCTGTATGAAGAACGCTAGAGCTGTAATAACGGCGAATGAGTGGTCCGCGACAGCCGCGTGCGGCGAATCGATTAGCCAAAACCGTTACTAACGCCCGTCTCCCATCTCATATATTCACGCTCTAAAATTACCAATCAGAAAACTCACACTTTTCTGAGTGACAGGTTCAACCTGGCTACCGTACTGACTGACGAAGCATTGTCTTCTTTGCTGGAACGTCTGCAAAGTGTCATCGTTCCACCATCCTCTGAGACTGCCATTCGCGTCGTACTGGGCTCCTAGGACAGGGTTTGATTGCAGCAAGCATTTAGGGAAGACAAAAGTTCTTGAAGAAAAGTGCTAACCAAGATCATCGTATCCATGAGTGATTTCATGGCCTATAGCTATACCAATTGAAGCATAGTTTACATAAAAGGGGGCCTCAGGAGCGAACATTGGGTACTGAAGTATGCTGGCTGGGAAAACTGGAAAGGAAAAGGAATTAGATATCTTATATACTCTGAGATTTCAGGCTGCAATTCAGGGTCTACGTGGTTTATGTTTTCGAACTTATGTATATGGAATCTACATAAACAAAGTAAGATTAATTTTATCAAAGCCGTCGGATAGCGAGGATACGGTAGAGACCACGTAGGACCTTGTTCAAAAAAATTTTCTTCTGCTAGCATCAAAGGAAATTACACTGGTCCCCTATGGAAAAATCGTTAAGATGTTCCGTGACCCATTAATCTTGACATGGTCCAATTAATATCTTTTGCAGATTTGACTAGACCTCCTAGATTGGATATAACTTCATTCGTGGATGACGTTTCGGCGAAACATTTTCAGTGGTCTTGACCCTCTGAACTGCAATAATTTGTTCAGCCCACCTCCTTCTAATTGATAAAATCTTTTTTTTTTCGTTTGCTCCCTTTGCTTTTTTGTTTTGTTTTGATTATTTCTTCTTGTTTTCATTTCATATTTGTCGTTTTTTAGCTGATCAATCATTTTGAGCTCAGGGCGCCGACAGGAAGCTCCCCTCGTATCAAGGTCAGTTTCATCGCTTTTATTCCTCAACCCTTAGATTGTCTTTTCATAAATGTGATTGCAAAGGCAATTTGTGAATCACAAATATGCATTCGACCTACAGGCTCCGAGGAAGGTTATTTAGCCCAAACCTCACTCGTAGATGAAGTTATTACAGTCTTGGAGGCTAAGTGAAACTATCAACAGATATTATTTCGTCGAGAATTTAAAGTTCTCGCTACTGGACCGCCTAAAACAAATAACCTAGCTAACTTATTTCGTTGCCTCCAAAGGAGTAGAAGGCGTCAACGGCAATCACCGGATATGTCCATTGATCG